GTAGGACCAAAGACACCCCCGCGATCACTGCCATGGTCATCACCTTACGTTGCGCTTGTAGGAACTTTATAATAGGAAATACCATCGCATATGCAAATAGTTGTGGGATCATCCATAAGGCTAACCTGCCTATGGTAAAAATTAAAATTTGATTAGTAAAAATCAAAGTAGTTCGTATTCAAATTAATCGATTAAAAATCAACTAACAATAATAAGTTATGATGAGTAACAAGTTTGTAAGGTATTTACATTTACATAAAATTAGGTAGGGCGTAACAAGTTTAGTTACGTATGTAAAAATTGTTACAGGGACGTACCTGCAGCCTCAGAAATCGCAGAAGTCTCCCCAATGAGCCACAAAATTTGGGCTGCAAAGATGTAGAGTAGGCTTAATAAGAGAGCTGTAGAATTGAGGATGACCCATGACCTTTGCATGTAGATTCCTAGCATCTCAACTTGCCCTGCTCCAAATGCTTGTCCACATAGTGTCTCCAATGCACTTCCCATTCCAAGCTTCAAATTTGACAAAATTGTGTTATGTCTTATGTCATTATGTGTATGCTTTTATTTCACTTATCTGAATATTCGTAATTATGTGTACATGTCTAATTTCTATGAGAAAAACTAAAACTTTGAATGTTAGAATGCTTTTATTAGAATGTCACATTGAATGTTAATCATCCCGATCTAAAGAGTAGATGGTGGTCTCTCTCAATGAGGTCACCAGGTTTGAATATTTTTTGTATTTTAGTTAAATTCGGGAGAATACAAACCAAATCAATTATTAGCTTTATATTCACGACAAAACAATTACGGAGTACCTCACTACCTCAGACCTCAGTGCTCAGTAGCTTTATATTCAGTACCACACGTGAAATCATTTTGGCTACTAATTAATTATTGGAATAACTATATAATTGATTAAAATAACTGATTTATAAATTGGAAAACCTTATCCTTTTGCTGTCACTCTTTAATTGTACCACCAAAATTCATTCTTTCGTGGTAATTGATGAAAGATTTTCTAACTTTATACAGAGTAGGTGGCATAAATCCATATATAGTCTTTGCCTTTTTATATAACTTTTATTTATTTATTTATTTATTTATTTATTTATTTATTTGTTTCAGTAATTTGGTTTTATCATTTGTTTTATGTTTCTGTAATTTATTAGTAACATGATGCAATGTACCAAAAAGAATACGATTGTAGTTTTTTTTTTAAAAAAAATTTGTTAAACGAGAAATTTTTTTTTTTAATTTTTAATTATTGACAAATTAAAAAAATGTATATGCTTTCAATCTATTCATCATTTTTTGATAAGAAGAAAAAGGATTTCATTAATGAAAGATAGCCAAACGACACTTACAAACAATTCCGAGGAAAATTAGAATTCCAACATAAGTACAAATCACCTTAGAACTAGTTACATCGCAGATTCGATCAACGATCGCCTTAATAAAAAACTTCATCCGGAGCAATACAATATGTGAGTTAACACTAATTCGGTTTGAGATCCACTGACGAATAGTTGTTTGAGTGAAAATACTCATATCGTCTTCTAGATACTTCCGGAGATTATAAAACCCTAAATCTTCAATATTCGACAGACAAACACGAAAAGAAATTAACCATAACAGAATAACCACCATCTCAAAGATGGGATCCATTTATTGAAAACATTTTTTTTGGGGGGGGGGGGCTTACCACCGGTAAAAACACCGATGGAAGCCCCTACAAAGATTCACAAAAGAGATCAGAAGAAAAGAGATGAAGGAGAAAGAGAGAAAAGAAGAAGAATGAAAAAAACCTTCAAAATAAAAAAACCAGAAAAAATCTAGCAATGGAGGATAGAAAAACCCACCCAAGAGAGAAACCTTAGAGGACACTAAAAAAACCCTAACGGTTTTATGGTCTTTTCAATCTATTCACCATAAATGTCATAAGAAGTATTGTTTTACGTAAGCATTCCATTGTATTTGCACATTGTTAGAGGACCAACTCAGTATGCTCTATTAAACACGTGTTCAATAGTCGTCCATGAGGAGTCAAAAACCTCTCTTTATCAATTAATGATTCATTATTTCATTTTCAAGGAAATAAATATCATTTGAGCTCTATCAATAATGTTTCATACATCCCTCGTTTCAAATTAAATGACACGCGTTTTGACGTTTGATATTCTTCACAAACTCTATTTTAATTGCTTTTGTGATGTATAGATATATATAAAAAAATATATATAGTCATGTGAAATCTTGGTAAATTTATCATAACGTGTAATTTCAAAATATCTACTTTTTATGTTTTTTACTTATTAATAATTAGAGATATTAATGTTGAATCGATACATTGACAAACGTGATAAAGAAACGTTTCATCTAATTTGGAACATATAAAGTACATAACTACTTTATTGTATTTGGACCCGGACAATGCCTTGAGTCATTACATGTAATTTGCAGTTATATTCATAAATCAATTTTCTCTTGATTAAATTTTATTTTTCACATTGTCAAATACCACATTGTAAAATATTTTATGGCATAGCTTTACAATTTGAAGTTGTGATTCAAATCTTGATAAACAACAACCTTTACAATTTCTTGAATGTAAATTGATGAAATAAAATGAAAAACAATGAATCACGTGGTACATGAACAATGAAAAACAATGAATGATCAAGATTTGTGTCAATAAAACACAGACGCAAATAAATAAATTCTTAATTCTTGCACAAAAATCAACAATTATACATTTATACCGTATAAAAATGGATATGATACAAGGGACAGAGGGAGTATATATATCGTACAGTGTAGTGGTACATACCAGTGCACCGAAGGAGAAGCCGGCGATGACGGAGTTCTCGACGGACACGGCAGCAAGGTCGAGCGTACCAAGCTGGCCAGCCAAAGTTTGGGTGATAGCACCAAGGGAGTATTGACATATACCCATGAAAGTAGCAGGTGCTGCCAAATACATGGTTTTCTTAAACTCAATCCAAAATTCCCTAACAAAATCTTTTGGTGTTTTAATTGGGGGAATGTCATCCTCTTCATCTGCAACGAATGAATCAGCATTACTAGGAAGATGAACATAGCCGCCACTGCCGCCTTTCGATGATGCTACTGGTAGACGATGATGGTTATCGGTGGTGGTAGGTGGCAGTAGAGGCTGACGTTGATTTGTTGTGTTGTTTTCCATTTTACTTATGAGAGGATAATGAAGTTGTTTGGAATTTAGGATGGGGTGGAGTAATGAGAATCAATGGTTTTCTAGAGCAAAGGTAACAATAATAGATGTGGTGGGTACGGGGTACCAATGATGTGAAATCATTTATTTCTCTAACGGCGACTATGATGCGAAAACTTTTGTGTGTATCGCGTGTACAATATTATAGTGGATTTTAAACCGATTTTAGTATTTTTGCATTGTTGAAAGAGTAAATTTAAGTTTATAACAATGATAACATACCATGTTTATCAAGGGGCAACAATGTACTTTCAAGTGAGCTATTAGGGGCGCGGCTATTTAGTAAATTGACTCTCTCCAATTATATTGAGGTGTTAACGGACATTAATGGGGTACTTGTTTCCTTTCTCTTTCGTTTTCATTTTCTCCCTTTTCTCCAAAAGAGATTCCCCTATTTCATTGCTCGCTGCCAATATGTTCTTGTAGAATCTAAGTAGTCAATTTGTTCTTGCAGAATTTAAGTAGCCAATTTGTTCATTGCTGAACAGACAATTTGTTCTTTGATTACTTGGCAGTATTCATTTTTAAGTTCACTATTATGTCGTCCTTCATCTTCCACAACTTTAATGGAGAAAAGAAAACATACACAAACTCAAGCATCTTCGATGAAGGAGAAGGATAAATCCTATCATTTAGGGTTAATCATACCCTTCATTTCTCCCATTTCTCTTGGGGTTTTCGTTTAATTGGTGGCGAAGCCGTCGGAAATATGGAGGTGGAAATGGTGGTTGATGAGAGAATATGAGAATTTTTGTCGTGCCTTTCTCATTGATTAAACATCATTATATATACAAGCGTATACTAGGGTTAGGGCTAAGGATACATTAGTAAATTACAAACTAATTATACACAAGATTATTTACATAATCTAACACACCCCCGCAGTCGAAACGGGAGAACTACGAACGATGAAACTGTCACGAAAATCATCAAATAAAACCTTAGGCAGACCTTTCGTGAAAATATCTGCAATCTGGTATCGGGATGGCACATGTAGGACACAAACTTCGCCCCTTTGAACTTTCTCACGAACAAAATGAATGTCCATCTCAATATGTTTAGTGCGTTGGTGTTGAACCGGATTACTAGAAAGGTAAATGACACTAACATTGTCGCAATAAACCAATGTTGCTTTAGATATAGGACATCGGAGCTCAAGCAACAGATTACGAACCCAACAAGATACAGAAACAACATTTGCAACGCCCCTGTACTTTGTTTTAGCACTTGACTTGGACTAAGTAGGCTGACGTTTGGAAGACCAAGAAATCATATTCACCTAGAAAAACACAGTACCCTGATGTAGAACAATGAGTGTCCGGACACCCTCCCTAATCGGCATCCGTGTATGAGAGGATAGAAGAAACGGGAGACTTATACAAATGCAAATCAAAATTAGCCATACCTTGGAGGTAACGAAGTATGCGCTTTAACGCATTCATGTGCTCTACACGAGGTACGTGCATAAACAAACAAACTTGTTGCATCGCATATGATATATCTGGTCGAGTAAAAGTCAAATACTGCAAAAGCACCACACAGACGACGATAAGAAGTCGGATCATCATATGGAGCACCAGAAGTAGTACTTAACTTCCCTTTGGAGTCAACCGGAGTAGTAGAAGGTTTGCAATTAGCCATGCCTGCTTTTTCAATAATTTCCTGAGCATATTTCTTTTGAGACAAAAATAAACCATTTTTGTCACGAGAGACAACAATACCCAAAAAAATAGCTCAATTAACCCTAATATTTCATTGCAAATTCAGAGCTCAGTTGTGAAATCACATGGCGACAAAGAGACTCTGAAGAAGCAGTGAGGACAATATCATCAACATGTAGAAGAATGTAAGCAGTAGCATTACCATGGTGATAAATGAACAAAGAATTATCGGATTTGCTGTGAGCAAAACCAATAGAAGCCACAAAGTCTGCAAAACTCTAATATCAAGCCCGGGGTGCTTGTTTCAAATCATATAGAGACTTTCGAAGAAGACATACATGATCGGGCCGGGAAGGATCTTTAAATCCTAAAGGTTGATACATGTACACAGTTTCATTTAGATTACCATGTAAGAAAGCATTCTTCACATCCAACTAATAAATAGGCCATGACTTAGACAGTGCAATGCTGAGAACTACCTAAATAGTTGCCAATTTAACTACCGGACTAAAAGTTTCATCACAATCAATGCCCTCCAGATGAATTTTACCATCACCAACCAAACGAGCTTTATGTCTCTCAAAAGAGCCATCAGAGTTCGTTTTATGCCAAAAAATCCACAACGAACGAATAATATTCACATTAGCCGGACTTGGAACCAAGTCTTAAGTACCATTTTCAATAAGAGCGTCATATTCTTCCTGCATAGCAATTTTCCAATTATGGTCATGGAGAGCATGGACCGGGTTCTTTAGAATGGGTGATATAGAGGTAGTAGTATGAAGGGAATTGTCTCGGTACTTCGGGTTAGGCTTAAAGATCCCGTGGCTACTACGGGTGGCCATGGGATAAGGTGGTGGTACATAAGAAGTGAGGGCGGAGAGTGTCGTGCAGCAGGAGAATGGGGTTGCTTGTGCTCACCAAGTGAGACATCTTCCACGCCATTGCCCGCTTGTAACCCAGCAAGGGTAGCAGGAGGTGGAATAATGCCATGCTGCTGAGCAATAGGGGAAGGGTCACGCACTTGCGAGGGAGAGCATTGAAAGAGGGGCTACTGCACAGCATGGCTAGGGGAGTGCTGCTGCATAGGAGATGAGGGCAGCGCACTCCTGTAGGGAATTTTTCGTCTCCACCCTACATGTGGGTCATGTTTTTTTGCATGGCGGTGCTCCAAGAAAAAGAAGCTAGAAAAAGAGCCGCCAACAAGTTTTAGGAACTTGTAAACCGTTCACGATAGTGAAGGTTACACCCTATTCATAATCACAGATATTGCTAACTCCATAGTGGTATGGAACTAAGACTAGATGTTGGGGATGATGGTACGAATTTGACCTAAGAGAATCCAAACCCGCCCTAAATAAACCCACTTAGGTGGCCTGGCCTCCGGGACTGGATCTTTGATTGGTCCTATGGGCATGACCAGTCTATTGTGGTGTAGTTTATCGAAGGCTGTTTCATAGCTCATGCCAAGAGGAGTAAACATCCTTTTTGACCTTTGGATTCGTTGCTTAGAAGTGTCTTTAGCAAGTACTTCATTAATGGGAGAGAAAGAAGAAGGATGATCATTCTTATTTCCTTTCGCATTATTACTGTTAGCCGCTGCCGATTTCATAAGGTCGTCCTCAATTTTGATGCCTATATTGTAGACAGCCTTGAAAGTGTTTAGAAGTTGATATTTTAAGTGCTTTTGGTACTTATCTTGGAGATTTCTAATGAATATCCGCACGGATTCCTTTTCATTTGGGATAGTGATCATCTTTGCGGTAGTCTCTTTCCACCTATTGTAAAATGCAGTGAAGCCTTCGTCTTCCTTTTGCTTAAGGATCTCGAGCTCTCTATGATTAGTGCCCACTTGGACATTACATTTGTATCTATCAATGAAAACCTAAGTGATACTATTCCAAGTAGCAATTTTTTCAGAACCCACAGAAAAGTACCATTCACTAGTAGAAAAAATGAAATAGACACCCCCCCTTTAGCACAGGTTCTTGAAAACTGGTGCCAAAAGAAATGGGCGGGATTGAAAAATTCAGTGTTGGCACCGGTTCCAACTAAAACCGGTGCCAATCATTTAATTAGCACCGGTTCAAACCGGTGTCAACTTATAAAAAAAAAATTAAAAAAAAAATAAGTATGGCATAGAGTTGGCACCAGTTCGTCTTAAAGCGGTGCCAACTATGTTAATTAGCACCGGTTTAAACCGGTGCCATTTTTGAAAAAAAAAACCGGGTCTTCTTCGTTTTCATTTCATTTCCCATACTCTTTCTTTCTCTTGCTTTCATTTCCTCGATCTTTCCTCTTCTCATCTCATCTGCTTCTCCCTCTCCTCCATTGAAGCGTACTCGAATTTCTCCATTGAAGGGGCTTCTGAGTTTTCTCCTTTCATTCGATCTTTCCTCTTCTCATACTCTTTCTTCTCTCTTTCATTCGATCTCCTTCTCCTTCTCTCTTTCTACAATATTGGAGGTTAGGGTTTCTGGGTGCGTCTATTTTGAATCAATTCGATGTGCGTGAGTCTTCAACAACAACAAATTCGAATCAATTTCGAACCAAAAATCAGAAATTCGAGGTTAGGGTTTCTGGGTTATTTAGCTTTTGAATATTTTTCGATTTTTATTAATTGCTTATTTTTTTTAAGGTTTCTTTGGGTTGAATTTCTATGTTTTCTGAATATTTTTCGACTTTAATTGATTGTTTTATTTTTTGTTTTTTTTGGGTAGAATTTCTAGGTTTTCTGAATATTTTTCGATTTTTATTGATTGTTATTTTTTTGTTTTTTTCAGTTGAATTCCTAGGTTTTATGAGGATTATACGAACATTATTTTATATATATATATATATATATATATATATATATATATATATATATATATATATATATATATATATATATATATATATATATAGTTTTGTTAATGGAGCATAGACCAATTTGAGTAATGAGATGTGTGCGTTTTGAAATGAGGGTAGGACTGATTATAGGGCCAGAAATCTCATGATTAATCAGGAAAAAAAACTAAATTTTCAATTACTACTGTAAATTTTCAATTATATGTAAGTAGTATGGGTTGAAAGGAGTGTTTGCACAGAGAAAATACAGTATAATGGTTTGTCAGTCTAAGCTTGATTGCCAAATTTTTTTTACTAATACCAATAACGTAAGCCTAATTGATGATAGAAATCCTTGGTTGAATTTCCTTGAAGACATAAATTTTGCTTCTTTCACAAAATTTTGACTTTGTTATGTACTTTGGGATATGATGAAGGTATTCTTTCATTGTCTGTTTAGTTATTACTAACAAGAAAATATTGACTTTAGATTGTTAATCTAGCTTATGGTGTATATTTACTTGATGAATTTCTATTTTAATTCTTATTCCTTGTTTGTTAGCTGCTGATTCATCTTACTTGTACCAGGAAATATTGTTCTGCCGTGCGAATTTCAGGAATGATAATAATGATCGGCGGGTTATATTATATCTGAATGATTGTTGTTGTGGTAGGAAGTATTGTCAAGAAAATGCATCATGCCTGGTAAAAAATCATTTGAAAAAGGTTAGCCTCAGAGATGCTGCAATTGAGCTATCAATTGAGTAAGTTTCTTTTACCACCTTTTTTTGGGTATAAGAATTCTATATGGTGGTGTTGTTATGCCTTGTTAAGAAATTTATGATGCCATATCTGTTCAGTAATCTTTCCCTTGGTCCATAAGTAATTTTCTTAACTAATTATGTTTGATTCAAATTTTCAATCATTCATGTACAGATGTACTTGCAAAATTAATATGTCGATTTATTGTATGATCCAAGTCTTTCTAGTATATTAAAATGAGTGATCGATGCTATGTTGTTGCAAAATTAATGGTTTGAAAAATTCAGTGTTGGCACTGGTTCCAACTAAAATTACTGTACAAGGTGAGTATTGAGAATTTTGCAGAAAGGTTTAGGATAGTTTGTTTGCGTATATAAAAAAAAAAGCCTAACATTGTATTCTCTCGAACTACAATCACTTGTCACATTATTTGAACCTGTCAGAATTAGGGATATATGCGACATAATTAACAAAGTTTAGAGCAACAACATGCCTTTTCCTCTTCTTAATGAGATCAATACTAGTGATTGCAAGATACTGATTTCAACACGTGGATACAGGAAAGCCATGAGGCAACTAAATCAGCATCTGGAAGAAAATCAGTTGACAAAACTGAGTTATGACACTGAAACTTCTTGCCACCATTTAGCATAAGAAGTGGACTACATTTGGTACTTGTTCAACTCGAACTTAACGAAATAATTGTGAACCAGGTGTGGGAATTGATTCAACAGATGGTAATGGTGCCAAGAAAAGATTTCCGGATCTTAGAGGTAATCATATATTCTATCGTAAGTAGTTGTGGATAGTGGCGGATGCAATGCAGCTTTGTAAGCTAGTAATAAACAAACTAATTGTTGTTAATCGTCTTGTGCAGGAGAGACCAACAGAAAGTCAATTGAGGCTTTGGTATTTGTTCTCGAATCTTGTTTTTTTTTTTTTTTTTTTTTTTTTTTTTTTTTTTTTTTTTTGCAATGCTTCTTTAATCTTGTGGTGTTATTACACACAGACTTAAAGAGTGGCAACTTAATTAATAAAGCATGCTGTTTGTTCATGTTCTTTTTCTTGCTAATAAACTCATCATCAATGGGCATTTTAGGTAATATATCGACTTAGCCAAATGTGCGTGCCGGGTGTAAATATATCCGTAACTAGTTACCTTATTACAGTGATTGATTTGATCATTTGTGTTATAATGTTTTCCAGGTAAAAAGTACAGGCAAAGAGACTTTTCAGTGGGGTAAGTTTATTCTCTGGGTAAAACATGTAAAGATCAACTCCAATTTGTTTGTGCAGTACTGCAGTAGTGTGAATGTACTAGGGGTCTAGGACTCTAGGAGTACATCATTTTCAATGGATTTTTTGTTCATTAGACTCAAGGTTTTATGTAAAATGAGTTCTGGAGCCATTTTATTGTAACAACTTTGGTGGCTCACAAACACGCTTCATCGTTGCAGGGTTGGCTGCAGGGGTGTTTTCTGGTCTGACTTATGGGCTGAATGAGGCTAGTGGTTATCACGATTGGGTAATCACGACACTCTTGTCTTTACTTCCTTTTATCAGAAATATAATTGTAGTACTAGGTATTTCAATTGTAGCTTCTTAATGCTCAATATAATAGCTCATTTGCTGAATCGCTGATATGCTTTTCTAGCTGTACATGTGCAACTCAGCTTAACTAGGAGTTGGACAGGTGATGTTATCTTTTGAGGGATAACATGCATCATGATTCGTCACCTGCTACTGTACTGGTAGGCATTTAGCCCCTGTTTCTATTACTAAAGATAGTCATCAATTGATATTCTGTTATTTATTCACTTTTCAGAAATTCATATTTGTGATGCTATGTATCTTTATGTGCCTGTGTTATTGTGGCCTGTTTCCTTGCTTTATGTCCTGTTATCGATCTAAATTATTGATGGGTAAACTGACTATAAATGGTGCGGATAGGAGTTTAGATTAGTTTTTTTTTAGTGATTGATTATTCTAATTTTAGGGGTTTTACTTGACTTTATTTCAGGATTTTGTTAGGTATTTTTGTATTAAGTTCTGCATTTTAATCTTAAAAATATAGATTGCTGAATATATGCCTGCATTTTATTGTTGTTGAATATATGCTGCATTTTAATCCTATAACATGTGCTACATTTTAATCCTATTAAGTTTGCTGAATGTATGCTGCGTTTTAATCTTATTAAGATTGCTGAATGTATGCTGCATTTTATTCTTATAGAGATTGCTGAATATATACAGTGACCCTGATCGTTTAATTTAGGTCCATGTCATCTGTTGGCTGTTGCCCTGCTGTTCCATTTTGAACTTCATCTTTACCATGCATCCAATGTGTAATTGATGTTAGCGCGTTGAAATCTCAGTAAATAAACTTGAAAGATGGTTGATGTTCTATTTATTCATTTTTATGCCGATGACCTGCTCTATTGTATTACCTCGAGCTTCTTCTTGACCCTATGTGCTTGGTATTATATGAGTGACATTGCCTGGTGTTGCTATTTTCGCCTTCTTTCTAGGCCAGCTGTTTGAAGTGGTGTTTAATTATTGAGATAAATGAACTTGAAAGATGGTTGATGTATCTCCTGTGAGCAAGATCTTTTTCATTTTGTGTCTTCACCTCTGTTATACTACCTTGAACAAGTTCGGTAATTTACGCGTCACATTGCTTGTGTTGCTGTTTTTGCATTCTTTTCTAGTCTGTTTTGTCTATTGTGTACTGCTGTAGGCTGTGTTCTAATGTGATGCTGAGCTAGTCAGTGTGCTGGGGTTGTTTGACTGTTCCTGTGCCTGCTCAGAGCTTCTGTTTTTTCTGTCCCTGCTGGTTTGCTATGGTCTGTCTTTCTGCTGGCCTGTTGTGTAGCTGTTCTGCGTTCCTGAGCTTGGTTCTGATGTGGTGGCTACTGTGCTGGTGTCTTTGCTCTGGTGCAGTTTGTGTTTCTGTGATCCTGGGTCTGTTCTGCTATGGTTCAGATTGCTATGATGCTATTTGCGTTTGGTCTGGTCAGTTTTTCAGTTGCGGTTTTGCTGATTTGCTTTGCTCTGATTCTGTGTTGCTGAGTGCTAGGTTTTATGGGCTGATCCTTGAAGCTTTCTACTCAGCTGGTGCTGTCTGACTGCTGTTCTTCAGGGACCTACTGGTGCCTGCTCTGCACTGGTTGGGCTGCTAGTTTGGGTGCTGTACAGTAGTGGTGTGGTTTGGTGTTGCTGTTTTGGTGGGCTGCGAGGTTGTAATATTATTTAATTTTTTTTGGACGAAAATTGTAATATTACAGCCTTTTTTTTAATGAAAATATGTAACTTTATATATATGTTAATGTTTCTATATCAATTTAAGTGAAAAAAATGCAAAAAAAAAAAAAAAATATTTTATTTTTTTGGGGTATTTCTGGCACCGGTTTGGACCAGAACCGGTGCCTAAAGTGGGGTTTTTTGCACCGGTTCTTGCTTAAAACCGGTGCCAATAGTGTTGATAATAAAAAAAAATTTCGCGCCTTTGAAGTTGGCATCGGTTAACCGGTGCCAAAGCCTTTAGTTGGCACCGGTTTTGAACCGGTGCCAAATTTTTGAGGATTTGGCATCCCTCAAATCCCCAACGGTTCAAAACCGGTGCCTTAGGGGGGGGTTTGAACCAGTGCCAAATTACCTTTTTCGTCTAGCGATTGTTGACATACTGGTTCCAAGGAAAGAGAGAAAAGCGAGGGGAAGATTTTCTTACCTATCCCTTTGATTTCCATGATTGTCTCAAAATGGAATTAAGGACTGTCAGTAGCTTTGAACTTAGGGATGTTGGTGGCTGAGAACTTGTGCGGAAGAAGTTCTTTGTCCAGTGAGAATCCCTTTATATTCATCTCAAGGTACTTATAGTCATTGGAGACTTGACTTAGGCTCTCTTGAATGCGCTTATTTGTCTCAGGTGGAACATACTTATCATGGTCTTCAACTTTCTCCATTTGAATGGTGAGTCCCTTGACAACCTCGGCAAGATTTTTCATAGTCTTTTGGAGTTTTTCAAAATCATCCTTAGAGGCCATTAATTTCTTCTTTCTTTGAACCGTGTTCTTGAAGATCTCTTGTATGTAGGAGTTATCTTGAACTAAACGTCCTTCTTTTCTCGACCAAACGTTGTATAAAGGGAAACCATGGACACTTCTTGTCAATCACATGACTTGAACTCAATTCAACATGCATAGATAGGGAAATTCCCGAAAGAACATGGTGTATGAGGGAGAATGATATGCATGGGGAAAGCATGTAGGAGGAATGTGTATAGGGAAAGTATGTGAATGTGGAAAGTGTTTAAGAAGTTAATGTATGAAAAGTAATGTAAAGGGAAAAGATATATTTGTGGAAGGATAAGGAAATTTCTGAGAATAGGATGGACCCTCAACTCAAATGAAAGAAAGGATGACTCATGCATGGACCTAAGACATGGTCATGGTGTGAAAAAAGATATGTACAAGGTGTGTGCAAAGACTCGTGAGTAGAAGTGATATTTACAAGACTCGTGTCATGACCAAGTGACTAGAAACGTGATTGGACTCATACAAGACCAGGGAAAGACCATATACTGTCATTAAACTGGTTAATCGTGATAGTGGGACTCGATGCGAAGACTCGGAAAGAAGGACTGAACCATCGCGTGATGATGGAGACTGTTGCGAGACGTTGAAGCCATCGCGACACGACAAGATTGTCGCGGCACGATGATCATCATCGTCATGCGCCACAAGTCTAAAGTGGTGCGCCAATACTGGAACATCACAGTGACTCGTTTTTCAGTTGTTCTTTCAAATGTTTAAGCCTAAAGTCTTCTAGGTCGATCATATTTATACTTTATGGGTTCGTGTTAATTAACCAAATTATTTAAGTAAGGTCCTTAAGGTTAGTGTGTATAGACATATGTACAAGAAATAAGTCAAAACAAAGGGTTAGTTTGTAAAGACATGTGTACAAGAATCAAGTCAAGACAAAGGGTTAGTTTAATCAAGCAAGCTATGCACAAGTAAGATATGCACAAGTAGTCAAGTAGTCACAACATGATGCAGTGAGTTTATCACCTAACCATTGCTCTAGTTCTCTAAGGTCAAGAATTATGGTGTCTAAGAGGGTCCATGGTTAAGAGTCCGGATGCATCGCACGCAAGCCTTACCTTAGAAGGGTTGGTGCGATGGACGGGACTCTACAAGTTAAACTCAATTCCATGGTTTGGTGAATTCACAAACTCGGATGCACCCATTATTACACAGAGTGTTTTTAGGGTGGACAGAGAGTGAATTCTCAAGGGCTAAAACCATATGTAACATACATATGGGTTCAGAAAGATCGAAAAACTTAATCAGGAAGTAAATTCGTCGAGACAGTACTAGAATTAGGACAAACGCAAAGACAGAATTGCCAGAACTTGTCTCTGGACGGCAGGAATCAACGTCCAGCGACAGCTCTATCGCAGAACAACAAAGCTGCCGTCTGGCGTTGATTACTGTCGCATGGTGACAGTTCTGGTGCTCTGCGGCAGCTTTAATCTTCGATATTATTTCCGATTTTTCGCAGCGTCTTTTCGATTTTAGTTGTGAAAAATATTTCCGACCTTTCCTATGTGTATGTCCTACGTTTTGATGCATTATGGATGGTCTTTCCAATGCATACCTTTTTATGCTCATGCCACAATGTTAATCAAACTACGCACATGAATATCAAGAATCATTCAAGTCTTATCCACTCATTCTAATTAACTGCCAAACAAATTGGGAATTAATTTAGAAATCCTCCCTAGTGGAGTCGCCAAAAACTATAAGGAATTTTTCATCTTCACCCTACATGTGGGTCATGTTTTTAAGCATAGCGGCGCTCCAAGGAAAAGAAGCTAGAGAAAAAGAGTCATCAACAAGTTTTAGGAACTTGTAAACCGTTCATGGTTGTGAAGGTTACACCCCATTCACAATCACAGAGATTGCTGACTTCATAGTGGTTTGGAACCATGAGTGGATAGATGTTCAGGGATAATTGTACGAATTTGACCTAAGAGAAGCCAAACCCGCCCTAAATAGGCCTCTACTTGATTCTTATTGATATTCATGCGCGCTTTTCGATCAACATACATACATCAAATTAACCCTAAACCTGTTTAATCTACGTTGGTTGATTATTAATGCACAATCAAATCTAACATTGGTGATCACTTGAATTAAGATTATATTAAGCATAAATCAATTTATTAGTCATCTTATTAGGAGTGATTTCAAGTACAAATTACCTTTAAACCTGCAAAAAAGGCGTGATCAAGCAATACCAATAAAATATGATTAATCAAGCAACATATGACCAATATAACAATCATCGTCATAAGAATATCATCAAAATATCGTTAGTAGTAAGATCCTAGACATGATACTATCAATCAAAATTACAACTCCTAGCATGTCACTAATAACAAAATCAACACATTATCCTAAACATGATACTAGAAATCAAAATAACATCCTAAGCATGATTTCTTCTCCAAAATCAAAAGAATAAATAAAGGGGTAATTGAATTACTCACTTTGATTCCTCAACCTTCTTGCTATTAAAATAATAAACACGTTAGTAAACTTCAAGAAAGTTAAATCAATAAAATAAATAAATCAAATATGAATTGAAATATAGATTTGGGACCAAACCCTCAAAACTAACAACCTTTCACGTCGAGGTCGAAGGCAATGTCGAGTATGGTTTGGAGTATTTGAATCCCGCAAAGGAAGTATTGTGAATGATTTGGATGAATCAAAGATGTGTTTAGGCTAAGAACATGGGTGTTTAAGATGATGGGTGATTTGAGACTTATCGATGGCTATTGTTGATGATTGTTGCTAATCAAGCTGTTTTGAAAACGGGGAAATCGATCTCTTTTTATAAGGAAAAAATAGAGTCTGATGATCATAATAAGATCTGGAAAAAAGAGAGTCTGATGATCATAATAAGATCTGAAATTCTAGATAAAATAGAACAACTTTTAACGCGAGACGACAAGATTGTCGCGACACGCTAGCCTCTGTCGCGACGCGACAGAGCCGACGTCGTTATGCGATGGTTTCTGAAGATAATGAAGTTGTACGGAATTTGATTTCTAATGGAATTATGTTTGCAACAGATATCCGAACGTCTTTGTATTCGAATAAAACAAGGATTATCATTTGAGAAGTTTTATTCAATCTCGAACTTCTTCGATCTTTATTTTTTCAGAAATGATGGATTAGAACCTTTTAGAGGATTCTATAAGTTTCTAAATGATTTAGAATTAGAAATATGATCATATAGGGCCTAAATAAAATATTTGGACTCCATATAATCATTGGGTCGTAGCTAAGGTGGACCTAGGCTCGGTTTGGGCTCGATTTAGTATTTTGGCCATAACTTATTCGTTTTAAGTCGGATTTGGGCTTATAATACATTGCTGGAAAGCTCTTTTCAAATCCCATCCAACTAAACAATAATTGGACATGGAAAATGGACCAAAATAATAAGTTTTGGACGTTTTTTTATTGTTTGGGCACGAAATAAACGATTTTAAGGACACAAAATGAATGATTTTGGGTCTAAGGACACGAAATGAATGATTTTGGTTTTAAGGATTTTAGGTAAGGTTAGGAATATAGTCAAGGCTTAAGATAACTTTGCGAGACTCTTCAACTCTTTACCGAACTCGTCAATAAAAAACGTGAAAGGTACTAATCACTGGGTTTGGTTTTTGGGGAGACACAATCAGGTGTCTACAACTCCACAACTTGCTTGCGGGCTCGTAGGCTTCAAAGCAACTAGCCTGCAGAGTAGGCTATGATGATGCGGCATGGGAAGGAGTTGAGTCCGAAATGTGGTGCCTTAACATGGGATTATCTAGCAGACTTGACGAAGCATCTAGAAAGTCGTATGTGTGAGGACTAGGAATGTGAACCTTAGAGAACGAAAAAACCGACTCGTCAAACCACACATGCCTAGCTATAATAATTTTCTGACTCGATATTTTAAAGCATTTATAACCCTTATGATTGGAAGGATATCCAAGAAAAACACAAGGAGTAGACCGAGATTGAAGCTTGTGTATTTTCGAAGAAGGGAAAAGAGGGTAACACGAACAACCGAACACCCGTATGTGAGAATAATTGGGATGCTTTTGATAGAGAATTTGAGTAGGAGATTTATAGCCAAGAATTTTCGTAGGTAAGACATTGTAAAGACATGTAGCCATTTCTAAGGCATGATGCCAAAAAGATGGCGGCATAGAGGCATGACAAAGGAGCGTACGAACAATGTTATTGATTGTTTTTATTTTTCGTTCCAATTTGCCATTTTAGGGATTAGTGTATGGACATGAGAAGCAAAAAACCATCCCATTTTTGTGACAAATTTTTTTAAAAGGGTCGTTATCAAATTCACGACCATTGTCACATTGGAAAGCTTTTATTTCTCTCTCAAATTGAGTACGAATATATGTTCTAATACGAATAAATAAATTATAGTGGGATTTAGAAGAGATAGGAAAAGTCCATAAAAAATTCGTATTATTGTCAAGAAATAGAACATAATATTTATGACCAAGAGAGCTAACAACCGGAGATGTCCATAGATCACTGTGAATAATATCAAAGGGCATAGTAGTATGAGACATAGAATTATAAAAAGGCAATTTTTTATTAATTTACCCAAAGGGAAAGAATAACAAGAATGTTTCAAAGCCTTATTACAACTTATAAGTTTACTACTACGTAAATAACTAAGAATTGCATTTCTCGGATGACCTAAACGGAAATGCCACAATCTAGGAGAAACAACTGCCAAAGTTGACGAAATGGAAGTGGAAATGACTTGACGATCTGTGAAAAAAGGATAGAGATTTCCACTACTATTACACCTCACTATTTTGCTCCTCGTCTGCAAATCCTACACAGAAAACCCAAAAGGATTAAACTAATTAAATAGAAATGTTGTTATCAATTGTGAATTTTCTAACATAAATGAGATGTTTGACTAATTTTGGGACATGAAGGACATTTTTGAGTTGAAGTGCGGTTTGGTTTAAGGAAGTGTGACCATAAAATTTTATCGGAACTGTGCTACCATCACCAACAGTAATTGCATTATTATTACTTTTGCTCAAATGAAAGTATGATAACAAGTTACCTTGAGAATTCGTCATGTGTGATGTAGCAATGGTATCCATGTAGTAATTCGGGTTGGCTAAAGACATGGTGTGCATAGCTTGCTCGATGTTGGTTGGCATGTAACCCGAAGAAGAGGAAGGTGGGCCAGACATATAGTACGCTTGTTGTGGTCGAGGGCCTAGAAGATCGGGTTGCTGCTGAGAGGACTGTTGAGGCCGTCCACCCCACTACATTGGGCCTGGACCTTGTGAAGGGTATGGGCAAGGTGGAGTGGCCCATGGTTCCTGATTCCAGTATGCCCAAGGAGGGGGATACATCCACCCCTGCTGACCTAGGTGCTGCTGTGTTGAGGACTAATACTGTGGTGCTTGCTGGTGCGATGACTAGTTGCTCCGACCACCGGACCCAGCGCTGCCTTTTTTCCACCCTTTCCCTTAGGTTTCCAACCACTGCAAGCAGGCTGCAGGTTTCCACGAGAAAAAAAATCAAAAATTACTTTGCGCTACTACAAATTAAACAAAGCCGATGATGATGACTGTGAGAAATGAGCCTCCTCACCGGAATCAGGAATGTCGGAAGCATTACCCTGCTCCTCCAATTCAAGCATGGAGCGCAAGATGTCAAAAGTGGGAAGCGGATTGAGATGACGAACAGAGGTACAAAAAGGCTTGTATTCTTCCGAGAGCCTTTTCAATAATTGCAAGGCCATGCGATTATCGGAGACCTTGTCACCCACGTTTCTTAGATTATCCACAAGGGTTTTCAGGCGAGTGTAATATGGTTTAACACCATCAAATTGATCAAGTTTGGTGTTTTTGAATTGCGCATCAAGGTGAAGAGCACATGTAGACTTGTTGTTATTGAAGAAGTTTTCCAAACGATTCCATGTATCAACGACCCTTTCATCGGGGTCGATAATGGTGTTGAGTAAGTCATTGGAGATTGTCCCGTAAATCCATTTACGAACTAAACTATCAAGACTTTTCAAGAAAGACACCTCGGCAGTAGTAGGTTCGGATTTCTTGGCAGAGGGATCAACTGGTGGAGGAATTTATGGTCAATCAACAATCACCATATTAGCGTGGCAATGCAGTTGAAAGAGGGTTGACTAGTTGTTATATTGAGTTCCGTCATAATCCAGGGTGATTAAAATACATGTCTTAATGTTAGAGACAAGAGTGGCCAAATGAAGCTTGCTTGAATCGGCCATGGGAGAAGAAGAATAAAGAACATGAGCAAAAGAGAATTAGGGTTTTGGATCGAAAAACCTAGACTCGTGATGCCATGAGAAAATATGCGAATATTTTTCGTGCCTTTCTCATTGATTAAACATCATTATATATACAAGTGTATACTAGGGTTAGGGCTAAGGATACATTAGTAAATTACAAACTAATTATACACAAGATTATTTACATAATCTAACAGTTGAGTTCACAAGCAACTTCAATGGAGGATATAGATGGATAAGGGAAATGTGATGGTGGAAATGGTACGGTGGTTGTCCATTGGCATTGTTTCTTACGGTTCTGTAGAAACCTAAAAATGTCTCCTCAAAGCCAAACCCGATGATGAACAACCTTTCACCGCCATTATTGAGCGGGTCGAGTATTTAATCTCAGGAGTGCTTAAAACCCATGTTTAGTCAAACATATTTTGTCTACAAATCAGTCCAAGCATTTATTCAAACTCATTCTAACTCACATTTCAGCCTAAACCCTTTTTACTTCATTTCGTGTTATTTATTAATTTAGCCCGGTTAATAAATAATAAGTCTAAATAAGCCCAAAACTCTGAAACGGCACCTAAAAATCACGTACTTAATGATTAAGAATTAGGGTTAAAATGAATCTGGACGGATTTCGCGCAAAATCGGACACCGTGTCACGAAAGACATACTGCATGACGGTATTGTATACCGTGCCACAACAACCTACACCGTGTCACGGCATACATGCCGTGACGCGGCGTTTAGTTAGGGTTTTTCCACAGCGCCTTATCATTTCTAGGGTTTCGTCCATCACCCTGCTCATTTCCTCTATAAATACGAGGTTGATTTCCTCAGTTTCGGGGCACCAACAATCATTCTCTTCTCTCTCTTTAGTCTAAACACTAGCCTACCCTTTTCTCTCACAATAATTCCCTTAATCACTCCCCGGAGTCTGTACTTTACCCGTAGTTTTACACTTAAACCAACGCGTGAAAGGTAGAACCGTTTGAGGGTTTGGCCCCAAATCATTTCTAGTCTAGTTTAATTTAAATTCCATTATTATTTATTATTTTTCCTTGAAGTTACTAACGCGTTTATTATTTTATAGTTGCAAGCAAGCAAAATCAAAGTAAGGAATCATGTTCCTTTTGTTCTTATTATATTTCTAACGATTTTTATTATGTTTGTCATATATTAATGGTTGGATATTATTGTTAAATTGCTTCCAATGTTGATGTTGATTCTATTATATTTATTGATCACCATATTGCATGTTTAATGGGAATATGTAAGTGAATATCACGATTAATAAGATAATTTGGACGACCGGTTTAGGTTCCTTTTTAATCTTGTTGTTTAATCAAAGTGATCACGATATTTTAGAATTACATGATGCATTCATTAAACCAATTTAGCCTAATTTTAGTTTGGAGCAAATTGAATCTTTGTTTGCATGCCATTAAGATTGCAGGGAATACTTTTCGCTATAAGAATCGAGTAGAGGCCAATACGGGCGAATGTGACTTTATGACTCACTTCGTACCATCATCCCCGATCCTCCTTTCGTGGTTCCGAACCATATGGAGTTAGTAATCTCATGGATTATGAATGGGGTGTAACCTTCACGGGTCAATCGTTGTTGCCTTTCGTTGTCCCTTATTCGTGGTTGTCTTAAATGATCCGTGAACGGTTTACAAGTTCCTTAAAAAACTTGTTGGTGGCTCCCTACTTTGCTTTGTCCCTAACGTGTCCCTAATCGTGTATGTCAATTCCCACTTCCTATGAGTGTCAAGCATATTCATCACATGCTTACGTAGGCGCGCTTTAAACGACGTCTACAGGTTCATTTTTGCTTCATTTCTCCATTGTTAAAGGGTGAAGGTGGGTCTTTTTATCTTTCTTTCTCTTTTGTTTGGATGGTTGCCGGTTTAACGGATGATAAAAGCATAGTAATAGTAAAAAAAAAAAAGAAATATTATTTTATAATTTTTAGCATGATATTCAAGGCAGAGTATTTACAAAAGTGCCATTTGATAAACGAAAAACGTTTATCACTGTTATAAACCTGGGCTCCCTCTTATTGATCTTTTGAGTGCATCATGTTTATAATTTTGTAGTAAATGCTGAAATGTTTTGATTATCTTTGTATTATTAGAATTGGTTTTAAACAAGTACACTATTTCAAAATTTATGAAATGTGGTATTCAAATAAAATTTGAGATCGAATTTAAATAGAGTACATTTAGAATAAAATTACATCCATTCATTAGATGGTATCTGTTTGCTTTTTAGGTCTTAGGTGACAAATTATGGGTTCGATCAACTCTTGATAGACACATTGTATATGTAAGGAGGATCAATTGGAGGGGAAACATGATGTGATGAAATAACATATGTTTTAGACTAATAAGTCTAGTTAAATTTAAGTCTCTATTGTATATGTAAGGAGGATCGTTGCATGACCCAAAAGACTAGTTCATAATTACAAAACCCAACTCCAATATATAGAATCGGATCAAATTGAATAATAAAAATATATAATAATATACTCAATATTTCTCAAAACAAATACAATTAATGGTTAAATGAACCAATTTGGTCATTGACCTAACATAACCTCTCTCCTCTCCTCTCTCTTTCTCTTGAACCCTAGCAATCCTTCATTGTTGAATTTTAAAGGGGGTTATATTAGGTTTTGGTGGAAAGCCCCATCTTTATTTCTTTAAAGTTTTTTTCCCTTTTTTTTTAGGTTTGTAATAATGCTTCCGCTTTTGAGAGGAGCTTTTCAACCTCGAATAAAAGGATTTTCGATCTCCTTTGAAATAGACAAGGTTTGTCTCCTCTTCTTTCGAGGTAAGACTTTTCTTATTTTATTAAAATCCAAGATTTTGGATCTTATGGATTACTTTGAAATTGTTTGATTAGTAAATAATTATACAGGGTCGCAAAAGTTACCAATTATTCAAATTCAATTGGATAATCAGATGAACAACATCCTCACAATTACATTAAAACATTAGATTGTCTTTCTAATAAGAGTGTATTTTTCAACGATAAAACGGGAGATAATCGATCCATAGTGCAAGATTTACTCAATGATCGTAGCTTTTTACGAAATAAAGCTTTATCCAATTCAATATATTATGTGTTTGTTCAATTTAATTTCTTTTGTAGATGTTGTATGACATTTTATTAATGAATTTTTTTTTACTTTAATTTTCAAATGATTAAAATCTATATAAAGCTGAAAATTTACATCTATATATCTAAAAATTGTATCAGTCCAAGAATCATCTAACTAAATAAAACTTTCATTTAAACCTCTTTATGAACTCACTAAATGATATAATAAAAAAAAATTAAGGGAAAAATGGATATAATAATGATAATGAAAAGTGAGTGATAATCGTAAATATAGTTATAGAGGTATCGTTGTTTTTTCTAATAAATTTGATATCAAAATCCAAATCAGTTTTGAGCTTGTGTGATAAAAATTTTATAAAAAAGGTTGGCCAAAGAGGAAGAACAAAAATAGTGGCAAGTGAATTGAAAATGTTGTTTTAAGGAATTGTAGGAGAAGTGCATGCATCATGGAGAAGTAATTTATTCTTGGTGAGTATAGAAGTATAGTGACACTGTGCATAAATAAATATTTAGGTCATTAGAGAAGTTTTTCATAGCTTACTTTAGACCTGATTAAGATGGGTCCGGTGGCCCGCCGATTTTTGGCGAGCCATGGGCATGAAATTTGACCTAAATTTTTTTGGGTCGCCCCACACATTTTTAGTTGTTTTTCCCCAGCCGCGCCCGAAAAAGCTCGCTAGGCTGGATCAAAATTTACAGCGTTGGGTAACCATTTTTGGCCCAAACCTTGGCCCAACCCGACTTGATGGGCTACTTTTTAGGGTTAGGCTCGGCCTGGCCTACCCAATGATCACCTCCAGCTTGCTTTTAAAGTTTCTCCCTAATTATGACTTCATGATGTTTTTGCTTCTTACTTAAAAATCTTAACTTATTTTAAAGTGAAATTTTCAATATACTCTTAAGTATAGAAGAGTATATTTCAATATACTCCCTAATAGAAGAGTATATTTCAATATACTCCCTAATAGAAGAGTATATTTCAATATACTTAAAATTTTTAACTTATTTTAAAGTGAAAATTTCAATATACTCCCTAATAGAAGAAATTTCCTATCAAAATTATATAAAATAAGAAAATAAAAAAGAGAGAGAGTATATAAGAAAATTAAAATTGAGCCAAATAAGATAGTGAATCTTTCATGTGATAGGGGATATGTGGGGAGATAATTAGCCATGCCATCACAAGGAGTCATGGTAGTAAAAGGTGTTACAGTGATGAATTGATGGTACCAAAAGTTGGTGTGGTGACATTGATAGGTTATTTACTTATTTACAATGTGGTGTGTAAGTTTGGGATGGTGGGGTGGAAGAGAAGAGGTAGAGGTGTGTAAAATGTAAAGAGAGTTGCGTCACATATTGAGACGCAAAAGTTCTAGTGTATGTAGAAAATATATTTGTACTTCCTCTTTTAGCACAAGTTTTATTGCGATCTAGCCAGTCATTGAATTACTACTTACTAGTAGTGCCATTTGCTCATTGATAAATATATACGAAGTATGGTTTATCGTAATGAACGTATAGATTGCATCAAAAAATAATGAACATATAGTTAAAATAATAAACATATAGTTTAATTTGGAATATTATATTAAATTTCCTCAGTTTTCTTTTAAATGCAACGCTTTGGATTTTACACTATATATATTCTTCACTTTGATTAGCTTTGATAATTTATAGTTAAGGAAAAATATAGTCATGTGGAATCCTGTTAGATTTGTCTCGATTTTTACTTGATTAATATTAAATTTTTACAATTTTAACATATTAGTAATAACAATATCAATGATTGAAATAATAACACATTAGCAAGCATGTAATGAGAAGCAAATCCTGATATGTACGCGTGGGCGTACCAT